TCACAGCATGGGTTGAAAAGCGAGCCGTGTGAACTCAGAGGGTGAAAGACTGAGTTTATATTTATAGACTCAAACCCATACGCTAAATTATGATTTCAAACCAGATATCGTTATCGCCAAGCTTTGCGCTATACAGTTGACAAAGGAAGGCTACGGAACATAAGCTGTATTTTGTTTTGAAGTAATATGTCTCTCATGCACGTCACTGATGTTAGCTTCTTTTGAGTGTTTTATGCATCATTAAGTAGTGCAGTGTAATCAGATGATTAGAAAGTGAAAATGCAAGGCGAGCCACTCAGAGCAAAACACAACACAGATCACTTCACTTTTTCAGCAGCGTGTCTCTTTTTTACAGTAAGTTTAACCAATCAACAATAGTTATTGGTCTTCATAACATCAACTAGTATATAGCAAGATAGGGAAAAAAACCGTGAGTTTCTTGTTCTGAATCGAAAAACTTGTGATATTCATAGCTTCTGCATGGACCGTTATCATTCTTGGATAGGTTCAGGATTTAGAACTGGTTTTCTCCTGGTCTTTCATGCCACTGCAGACCGCATTTAGCTCTTAAATACACACTTTATTTGCTACTACAGGATCCGTGGGACTGTCTAACGTGTTTAGTACTGTAACCATCACTCGGTTTAGCATTTCTAAGATGCGATCAGATGTTGATAGTCCCTTCCTTCTACATAGCTCGACAACTGTGTCATGTCACTCCTCTTGGTTAAAGAAGTCTTAGAACACAAGTATAAACATTTACTCAGGAAACCATAAAATAAATATCACAACACCAATAAATTCAAATTTCTCCACACGATAAATAACCACAGCAAAGCAGTGGAAAGGCCAGGGCAAAACCAGTTCTAAATCCTGAACATATCCAAGAATGGTAACAGTCCAAAAGACCGAGGCTATGAATATCACAAGGAAAATAAACAGCTGTACACTTCAGTAGTTACAAACTTGATCCATGAGATAACCCTCTGAATGAAAATTCATTACGTAAATTACTGCAATTTTTAAGAATATCGGATAAGTTTGTCCTAACTTTAAACTTTTATTTCTCATAACAGAAAGATGCACAGGGTCATAAAATTTTTTATAGCCTATCAGTCACCTCAGTTACACTTTTCCTCCATCTCTAGTACAAAGCTTCGTTCTGCCGAAGGGCTAACGCTCGAAACGTCAGCTTTGAAACTTTTTACGGTGGCCAATTTACGATATAAACTCAGTTGATCATATCAAATTACCCTCTCGCACAAAGCAGCGAACTAAGCATGTCACCGAATTTCCTCGAGGTCTCCAAAAACGTACTTAAGGTGTGAAGGGAGGGAAATAGTGAAGCAAAAAATAAAAAGAGAAAAAAGACTCAAGAACTCCGGCTCGAGAGATAGCTTCGTTGCTTCATAAGACTGATTTCTTTTGGGGGGAGGAGGGGGGTCAAATGGGTTTTGTCGAATATAGCAATGCAATAGAGCCAAGAGAGAAAGGGTTGAGAAAGCAGAAAAAATCGTTATGACATGAAAGAAAACGATAAGAAACTCTGGCATGAGTCACTGAAGCGTCGTTCGCGATTTAGACTATCGTCAATCCAAAATACTGGCGTCACCCTACCACAGAAGATCTCACAAGAATGAGGAAGTGAGTCAGCTATTTGAAAAGGATTTATCGTTCCCAAACGAATTATTCTGCCCTCTGGCGTCAGAGAAAAAGAGCTCCATTTTCGCAATTGAGCCTTAATTCACGAAAGGATGTTTCAATCTATAGCCTCTACTTACGAGGCATGGAGGGTCACCACTCCATAAGAAAGCAGCTTTGGGCAACTGACACGTTCATTGCACCAAAAAGGCAAACACGAGAGCGATATTCTTTCAATTCTACCAGGTACCTCGCTTGCCAGTATCTTCCCTGTGAGAAACTGCTTGTAACAACTCAACTACTCTCATCAGCCTGAACTTAGGTGGGTCATGAAACAATGATTTCTGAAACCTGTAGTCAACGCACACGTACTCAACCAAACCACTCCTATTCTGGCAGATATCAGAAGAAATTGGCAAAGTACCTTAAAAAAATTCAGCATGTTTTTGGACTGTTAGGAAAAAAAATAAAACGAAATAACAAATATAAAAACGAGATTATGGAAATGTGCAGAACAGCCGTGGGTACAAGAGCTCCCGGAATTTCTCATTCCTCAAATAGTTTTTTTTCCCTAAATATTTGAAAGTTCTTGTTTCTGTCGGGAGAATTTAGATTCAGCCGCCACAAGGGTAGCTACTATATATGACTCTCAGAAATCACATTTCCAGGAATCCCCGCTTAAAATGATGTTAAGGTTTTAAGATCCACTGAATTAAAACTCTTACTTCCGGTGAAAATGTTTACCGTCATTTTTTAGTCAATATTGATCTTTTTGATTTACGGCGTTTTTGTATGACAGACAGCTAATAACTTTTTTACATAACAATCATTTTGGTCGAAAACATTTTGAGCCGGGGCTTATAGGTTGCGATTTCAAAGTCGTCTAGTAATACCTAAATTACAATTATTCCTTGCGAGTTACATGAAAAAAGTCCGTCATCTTCTCTGCATATGTTACGCGTCAGTTATGCTTTAAATTATGTAAAAACGGTAAAAAAGAAAAAAAAATTATATTATTAGATTTAGATTACCATAACATATGTAGAAACCTTTTACCTTTAATGAGATGGTCGCGCGAAGTATGTTCTAAACGTCGTCAAAATGCTTTCAAACAGATTTTGATTGCAACATTTTTTTCACTTAAAGGAATTAAGAAACTAGTAAAGTTAATGTAAAGTGTTGGTTTACTTTTCTTGCGAGTAATTACCAGTTATTTGATCCATAATCAAAACTACAACAAAATTCTCGAACGTAATCGGTTATCACCAGCTCGATTTGAGCACTACTGGAAAGTTAACACGTCATGCCTGTGTAAGTGGACAGCACGCTGCTGTCTCGCATATCGCAGAGTTAACTGTTGTTCTATTTTATGAAAACGTGTAATCGCGCAGTGCCGTCATTTGGCTTAAAAGTTTCATTAAGACCTCGTACATTGCTCTTATCAAAGGCCAACATTACATCCAAACGACGAACCCTCGTTCGTTCGATGGGAGTCCTTTACGGACAACATGAGTTCCAGCGCTTTCAATCTCCCAACCGTTCCTATCTTCACGTTCCTGTATAAGGTGCCTTAAAATCGCTTTAGCTGTAGGAGAACGACAAGTGCTCCATCGACAAACGAACAGGATTTTTCGATATTTAGAATCCGCCATCTTTGATTGCAACAAGGCGAATAAATGGTAAAGTGCCTCTATCCTAATTTGCAGCTTGTCAGAAGGGAAAATTGTTCAAATTATTGATCGTGTACGCGCACTGGGAATCAACCAACTTGAAAACATCTGGACGCTCTTTCTTTCAAGTTCTCGAATAACGGCAGCTATAAACACCGAATTTTATTCAAATCGTTCGAATCCTGTGATGTAACTAACGAAAAGTTTATGTTTCTTTTCAAATGAAGGATACTTATTGGGTAAGAGTGCCTTGCACCACAAACGTGGAGGGTAAGAAAGAGGAAGCTCGGAGAACAGAAGGCAGAAGCTTAATAGGGCGGAAGAAGGGATCTACACATGGCGGGAAGCGGGAGTAGAAATTGAAAAGGCACTCGATTGTTGTTTCTTACTGCTCATCAACCAATGAAAAACCTGTACCCAGCAAAGGGTTTTTTTCCACTTAATTCCATTTAAGGTCTACCGAGGCATTAAAGATAATTTCATTCGAGAGGAAACATAAAATTGAAATCAGCCGGTGTAATAAGATACCTCTCGAAGTCGGTTACGTCATACGTCATGAATGAGAGAACATGCAACATGTAAACAGTGTCAGCAGTCGGAATTATTCGGCGAGCAGAGCGAGTTAGGTCCAACGTCGTCTAAGGTCATATTGATCAGCCTCAGTATTTTTGTATGTGGCAATGAAAAATCAGTCCTCGTTTCTGCAAATATTTATGTTAAAATCACACAATCACATAGCTGAATCATACCGCTAGTGAACAAATGTATCATAGAATGTATGAACAACTTTTAAACCTTTCTGCAGAGGTTTTAAAAAGATCTCAATTTCTCGAAGAAATCAAAGTAGTTTTAAAGTGTGACTTGGAGACCAGCCGAACAATAATGTGCAATAACAGTCTATCAGCGCTTAAACTGAACGCTCAAAAATGCAAACGGTTTAACAATGGATGAGTAGTGACTTGAATCGTTCGTTGGAGCCAGCTTTCATACAGCTCACGAAAACAGCTGCTTCCGGCGAAGAGCGAAAATTAAACATGATGGATATGCAATTAGTTCAATTAATAGTCCTTTTAATCAAACCGAGGACGGCAGTAATACAAAGAGGGGCGGAAGTTGGGAAACAAAGGGTTGCAAAAGAACGAGAAGTGGGAGAACGTGGTACGGGAAGTTGGAAGCTGTGGGGCAAGAGTCGCATTCGAAGTTCAACGAAATCATACAAAAAAGAAGAACATAAGGGAAAACAAGAGCAAATTCAGCAAGTCGTAAGATTTACTTATTATATTTCAGTTTCCACTAAAAACAAAAAATTTACAATTTTCGTTTGCGGGCAAGAGTTCCATTTTGCCCGCTTGAGTAGCCAAGCAGAGCAAAGGACTCGCATCATCTCACCCGCGTGCTCCGCTAGCAATGAACTAATTAGCATTTACTGACAAGTTTAATTTGATCTCCGAGGATGATTATACACATTTTTTTACCATCTAAATTTATCACGCGACAAAGTACTACTGCAATGTGGCCCTCAGTGGTCACTGCCATCCCTGTCAGAGAATAGGACTGTCCCAGATTGAAAGGAGTACTTCGCACAAACTCACCATCTTTGGTGTAAATTTCTATATGCAAGATGTCTCTAACATAGGCGATTCTTCTGACCACCACGACATGTTGACTTGCCCTGTGAAATGCAATTCTTCAATAGGAAGAATTCATAGATATTTGCAGATCAAACGTGTTTAGATAGTCACCTTGTTCGCTAAATATATGAACACGTGACGAAGGCCCTTGTCCTTGTACCACCATAACTCTGCCATCACTTACAGTGGTGATGTCGCTGGGGCTCGTCAAGATTTGTTCTCCAAAACTGCAAACAAACTGACCATCAGTCTCATAAACATCCACAATATGTGTCTTGCTCCATTTACTCTTCAGTACCATCACTGTACCACTATCACTAACCGACAGTTCATACCAGTCAAATTTATAGCCCATTGTCCTGACGCGAAACTTGTGATGATGATCAGCGGTTTTGTTAAACTTAAAAATCCAGCATTGGTCCTCACCACTAATTCCTTCGACCAGGACATTAATGTTGTCATTCATGTCTGTGGCTAGCCGAAACCACGAATACATCGATAGCTTTTCACCGCTGTCATCAATAAGAGGAGGAAGACTGAAACATTGCACAAACTTGCCACTGCTGTCATACACCTTGATTGTCGAGAAATTGTTTGCTACAATATATTGCCCACTTGAGTTGGTGGCGATAGCAGTAATATTAAATATCCCGGTCTCCTCTTCGCCATCATGACAACGTATCCATGGTACACTACACTTCTCCATACCCTGTTTACGAAGTATATTTGTTACTCTCCGGTCTCGCAACAGATCAACTTTCTCCTTCCCTGTGTCAATCATGGGCAATGGTGGAAATAATTCTTTTTCAAATGGTTAATTTGTAAATGGTTCTTTAACGTGCACTGTTTGTGCGACATCGTAGACGATGCGGTTGACAAGACAGACACCGGAAATAACTTTCCGTCGTTCTTCTTTATTAAATAAACTCTTCACTGCCATGATACCTGTCCTGAGCTGTTCTTGAAAACTTCGCTGAACCACGGGAAGACCGTTTAGCTCTTCAATGCACACTTTACATGGTGCTACAGCATCTGCGGGATGGTCTATTGTTTCTAATACTGTTGCCATGACTCGGTACTGCATTGCTAAGATGCGGTCACTTGTTGATAGCGCTTCATTTGAAAAAGCAATTGTTGCCATTTCACGAGCACGTTCGAATCTCTTCTTTGCATTGGTAAGCTGTCTTGTGGCAGATTCAGTAAGCTCCAAGTGTTTCATTCCTTCAGCGAGTGACACAGCTTCCGCACAAGCCGCTTGTTCTGTATCCGCGCCATACCCACTCCTCGACCTTTTCTCTTCAAATACTTCATACAGCAACTCGATTCCTTCTCTAAAGAATCCAATACTCGCTAATAAATCTTTCCTTGATAATCCATCCAGCTTGGACTTCATGTCATCGATTTCTCGCATGATGAAGCCGCGAAACTGTTGATCTGTTACGTCGCCATCTTTAAGCTTTTTTGCTGCCTCATCTCTGCCTTTATCCACAAGCCATCCAACAGTCGCTTTGAAAACTGCTGTTATGATCGCAGACATAATGGCAGCTTGCAACTTAGTAATCAGAAGAAATTGGGAGCTTTTTTAAGTGAATCTTCACAATAAGTAACTCCTCAAGCGTCGATGAAAACAAAAGAAAAAACAAATGATGGCAAAATTTCAAGAATGATTGCAATTTTGGAATGATAATAGCTGTCAGCCCAGAAAATAAAAAAAAAAACAAAGCATAACAAAGAGAAAGCAATCAAGGAATGATGGCGTGAAGATTTATAGCCTCTTCAAATAATCCTTTGTTGGAAAAACATATTTGTCTTTGAAAAGTTATGTTGCTCAATGCAGACACTCAAATAGGCTGTTGTGGTCTTAAGTTCTTCCTTTCGCCAACGATTGATAATGTGAGCATTTGAAATCCCTGACAGGTATCAGTAAAAGTACAATCTGAAGCTCTCTTTGTTTTTTTGAATAAAATGTTACTCGTTATCATTGAAATTTTCAATCACGTCACGGCATCATTCGACTTCTCAATGGAAATGTTGTTTGATGCCCGAGGCAAAAAAGGATGATTATTGTTCATGAATCTTCCTTTGTTGTTAGCTTTGTTCCCAGCTGTATTGTGTTTTACTTATACTGAGTTCTTTCTTTACTTTGTTACCCTTAATAAATAACTGTTATACCACAACTGGAGCTGGAACGGGTTCCTTCAACCAAATTAGTATTTGGCTACTTATCGGGTTTCGGCCCCACAAACGTACAATCTAATTGACTTCAAGAATCTTTGGAATCCCTTCTCACAGCATGGGTTGAAAAGCGAGCCGTGTGAACTCAGAGGGTGAAAGACTGAGTTTATATTTATAGACTCAAACCCATACGCTAAATTATGATTTCAAACCAGATATCGTTATCGCCCAGCTTTACACTATACAGTTGACAAAGGAAGGCTACGGAACATAACCTGTATTTTGTTATGAATAATATGTCTTTCATGCACGTCACTGATGTTAGCTTCTTTTGAGTGTTTTATGCATCATTAAGTAGTGCAGTGTAATCAGATGATTAGAAAGTGAAAATGCAAGGTGAGCCACTCAGAGCAAAACACAACACAGATCACTTCACTTTTTCAGCAGCGTGTCTCTTTTTACAGTAAGTTTAACCAATCAACAATAGTTATTGCTCTTCATAACATCAACTAATATATAGTAAGATAGGGAAAAAACCGTAAGTTTCTTGTTCTGAATCGAAAAACTTAAAGGAATCTTGAATCTTGTTCGTGGTTGTCCGACGTGCGCCCGTCTATCGCGTCCCATTTAGGTTGAAACAACATTTTGGGAATTTTCATCACTTATGGTCTTGTCATAAGTTAAAATACTTATTGACCAAGTTTTACTTGGCCGGGTTTTTTTTTCTGTTTGTGTTTTTTTATCGTCTTTTTTTTTTTCTCTCGTGTGAGTGTTTTTTTATTTTGGGGGGTATTTATTTAAGTAGCACTGAACGTATAGCAATGTATACAGCATTACAGAAAGTGTCACCCCTCCCAAATGGATATCGCTGGGTATATATATAACATTCAGGTAAATTTCACATTCATTCACAGATAAATATTCTCGTAGCTACATATACACCAGATGTTCTTTCCCTATCTTTTGCTCCTTATCTCCTGGTTCACTTTTTCTCGCCGAAATTAAAAACAACTTAACGAACTTTCATCACGTGCCATGCACGATGAACTGTCTCAATTTCAAAATGAAAAATTGTGAATACGCACGTGATGACAATGCCTTAGTGAACCGTGACCCACATGATGAACACAGACTTACAAACAACACAACAAATCCAAAATAACTATCAAAGAGACCTTATTCTTTTCTTCCTTGGCTTCCATTTTCTCAGAATTGACCAAACCATCACCCAAAGATGGATTTCGATCTTTACTTAGAGGAAACAGACTAAAATAACAGAAACTAGGGTCACAGACGAGTTTGTTAGGTATCGTATTCTTGTTAGATTTTGCTGCCATTGGTGATAAATATTGGGAGGAAGAGGAAGAGGTGCTTCTTTTGTCGGAAACCCTGAATTAAACAACTTATTACATTGCCCGGTCTGCATTCCACTCGCTGATTTTCAACCGTCAAGGTTTCTTTTTTGTGTCAGTATGCCTTCAGAGGCATGAATTTAACAATCACTGACTTCCTTCTAAAACAATAAGGCTCACTGAGTAATAATTGTCTCTTCATGTGAAAAGCTGAGCCCCCTGAGAGCCAAGATTCCTGCAGTAATTAGGCTAGAAACTTTCCCCTTTCGAAATTCTTTATAATCACGGTTGACGAGATGAAACTTTAGAGTTACCATCCAGTTTAGCTATAAACCCTATTATATCAGCATCTGATACCATCAGAGTGTATATCAGATTAACAGATGTACAGAATGTACTCCAAACAACCGCGATTTTAAAGACTGTTTCTTGTATTTTCATTGTCAGCAAGAAGAGCTGGAATTCTGAAACATTTCTCAAACTTGCCTCTGTTGTCAAACACCTTGATTGTCAAGTCACAGTCTACTACAATATTTCGCCCGCGTGAGCTGGTAACGATATAACACGGATCATTTATATCCAGTACTCCTATACACCATCCTGACCAAGTATCCATGATACATTACGATGCTCCATATCCTGTTTACGCAGCGCCTTAACTATCCTCACGTCATGCAGCATGTCAACTTTCTCCTCTTCTGTATCAACGGTAAGCCATTCCGGAGCAGTAAACCCCCACTGTATATAGATTGTGTGACAATTAGGCGACACGATCGACGGGACAGACACCAGAAATGATTTCTTTCTTTTTCTTTACTGATCAAACGAATCCCTTAAGGGCATTGATTCCAGCTCTTTTTTTTGACAATGGTAAATATCTATCGATTGATAAGGTGACAGGGTGACGCTTAATTAAGCCACAGAAATGAACGGCAACATCTATATGCTGGTAGACAAAATTTGTGATATTCATAGCTTCTGCATGGACCGTTATCATTCTTGGATAGGTTCAGGATTTAGAACTGGTTTTGTCCTGGTCTTTCATGCCACTGCAGACCGCGTTTAGCTCTTAAATACACACTTTACTTGCTACTACAGCATCCGTGGGACTGTCTAACGTGTTTAGTACTGTAACCATCACTCGGTTTAGCATTTCTAAGATGCGGTCAGATGTTGATAGTCCCTTCCTTCTACATAGCTCGACAACTGTGTCATGTCACTCCTCTTAGTTAAAGAAGTTTAGAACACAAGTATAAACATTTACTCAGGAAACCATAAAATAAATATCACAACACCAATAAATTCAAATTTCTCCACACGATAAATAACCACAACAAAGCAGTGGAAAGGCCAGGGCAAAACCAGTTCTAAATCCTGAACATATCCAAGAATGGTAACAGTCCAAAAGACTGAGGCTATGAATATCACAAGGAAAATAAACAGCTGTACACTTCAGTAGTTACAAACTTTATCCACGAGATAACCCTCCTAATGAAAATTCATTACGTAAATTATTGCAATTTTTAAGAATATTGAATAAGTTTGTCCTAACTTTAAACTTTTATATCTCATAACAGAAAGATGCACAGGGCCATAAAATTTTTTATAGCCTATCAGTCACCTCAGTTAAACTTTTCCTCCATATCTAGTACAAAGCTTCGTTCTGCCGAAGGGCTAACGCTCGAAACTTCAGCTTTGAAACTCTTTACAGTGGCCAATTTACGATATCAACTCAGTTGATCATATCAAATTATCCTCTCTCACAAGGCAGCGAACTAAGCATGTCAACGAATTTCCTCGAGGTCTCCAACGTGAAGTACTTAAGGTGTGAAAGGAGGGAAATAGTGAAGCAAAAAATAAAAAGAGAAAAAGACTCAAGAACTCTGGCTCGAGAGATAGCTTCGTTGATTCATAAGACTGATTTCTTTTGGGGGGAGGAGGGGGGTCAAATGGGTTTTGTCGAATATAGCAATGCAATAGAGCCAAGAGAGAAAGGGTTGAGAAAGCAGAAAAAATCGTTATGACATGAAATAAAACGATAAGAAAGTCTGGCATGAGTCACTGAAGCGTCATTCGCGATTTAGACTATCGTCAATCCAAATTACTGGCGTCACCCTACCACAGAAGATCTCACAAGAATGAGGAAATGAGTCAGCTATTTGAAAAGGATTTATCGTTCCCAAACGAATTATTCTGCCCTCTGGCGTCAGAAGAAAAGAGCTCCATTTTCGCAATTGAGCCTTAGTTCACGAAGGGATGTTTCAATCTATAGCCTCTACTTACGAGGCATGGAGGGTCACCACTCCATAAGTAAGCAGCTTCGGGCAACTGACACGTTCATTGCACCAAAAAGGCAAACACGAGAGCGATATTCTTTCAATTCTACCAGGTACCTCGCTTGCCAGTATCTTCCCTGTGAGAAACTGCTTGTAACTAAACTACTCTCATCAGCCTGAACTTAGGTGGGTCATGAAACAATGATTTCCGAAACCTGTAGTCAACGCACGCGTACTCAACCAAACCACTCCTATCCTGGCAGATATCAGAAGAAATTGGCAAAGTACCTTTAAAAAATTCGGCATGTTTTTGGACTGTTAGGAAAAAAAATAAACGAAACAACAAATATAAAAACGAGATTATGGAAATGTGCAGAACAGCCGTGGGTACAAGAGCTCCCGAAATTTCTCATTCCTCAAATAGTCTTTTTTTTCCCTAAATATTTGAAAGTTCTTGTTTCTGTCGGGAGAATTTCGATTCAGCTGCCACAAGGGTAGCTACTATATATGACTCTCAGAAATCACATTTCTAGGAATCCCCGCTTAAAATGATGTTAAGGTTTTAAGATCCACTGAATTAAAACTCTTACTTCCGTTGAAAATGTTTACCGTCATTTTTTAGCCAATATTTATCTTTTTGATATACGGCGTTTTTGTATGACAGACAGCTAATAACTTTTTTACATAACAATCATTTTGGTCGAAAACATTTTGAGCTGGGGCTTATAGGTTGCGATTTCAAAGTCGTTTAGTAATACCTAAATTACAATTATTCCTTGCGAGTTACATGAAAAAAGTCCGTCATCTTCTCTGCATATGTTACGCGTCAGTTATTCAGCTGGCATATGTTGCTTTGAATTATGTAAAAACGGTAAAAAAGAAAAAATATATATTATTAGATTTAGATTACCATAACATATGTAGAAACCTTTTACCTTTAATGAGATGGTCGCGCGAAGTACGTTCTAAACGTCGTCAAAATGCTTTCAAATAGATTTTGATTGCAACAATTTTTTTCACTTGAAGGAATTAAGAAACTAGTAAAGTTAATGTGAAGTGTTCGTTTACTTTTCTTGCGAGTAATTACCAGTTATTTGATCCATAATCAAAACTACAACAAAATTCTCGAACGTAATTGGTTATCACCTCGATTTGAGCACTAATGGAAAGTTAACACGTCATGCCTGTGTAAGTGAACAGCACGCTGCTGTCTCGCATAGAGCTGATAAACTGTTGTTCTATTTTATGAAAAAGTGTAATCGCGCAGTGCCGTCGTTTGGCTTAAAAGTTTCATTAAGACCTCGCACATTGCCCTCATCAAAGGCCAACATTACAATGAAACGACGAAAATCATCCTCGTTTACTTGTCTTGCTCGGTGGTTGCTGGCAATTCCATGTTTCTTCAACACTTGCAACCCTCGTTCGTTCGATGGGAGTCCTTCACGGACAACACGAGTTCAAGCGCAATACTTATTGGGTAAGAGTGCCTTGCACCACAAACGTGGAGGGTAACAAAGAGGAACGAGCTCGGAGAACAGAAGGCAGAAGCTTAAGAGGGAAAATTGAGAGAAGTTGAAAAGGCACTCGTTTGTTGTTTCCTACTGCTCACCAACCAGTGAAAAACCTGTACCCAGCAAAGGATTTTTTTTCCACTTAATTCCATTTAAGGTCCACCGAAGCATTAAAGATGATTGCATTCGTGAGGAAACGAATCAGCCGGTGTAATTAGATACCTCTCGAAGTCGGTTGCGTCATACGTCATGAACGAGAGGACATGAAACATGTAAACAGTGTCAGCAGTCGAAATTATTCAGCGAGCAAAGTGAGTTAGGTCCAACGTCGTCCAAGGTCATATTGATCAGCCTCAGTATTTTTGTATGTGGCAATGAAAAATCAGTCCTCCTTTCTGCAAATGCTTCTGTTAAAATCACACAATCACATAGCTGAATCATACCGCTAGTGAATAAATGTATCATAGAATGTATGAACAACTTTTAAACCTTTCTGCAGAGGTTTTAAAAAGATTTCAATTTCTTGAAGAAATCCGAGTAGTTTTAAAATGTGACTTCGAGACCAACCGAATAATAATGTGCAATAACAGTCTATCAGCGCTTAATTAAACTGAACGCTCAAAAATGCAAACGGTTTAACAATGGATGAGTAGTGACTTGAATCATTCGTTGGAGCCAGCTTTCATACAGCTCACGACAACAGCTGCTTCCGGCGAAGAGCGAAAATTTAACATGATGGATATGCAATTAGTTCAATTAATAGTCTTTTTAATCAAAGTGAAGACGGGGGTAATACAAAGAGGGCCGGGAGTTGGGAAACAAAGGATTGCAAAAGAACTAGAGGTGGGAGAACGTGGTACGGCAACTTGGAAGCTGTGGGGCAAGAGTTGTATTCGAAGTTCAACGAAATCATACAAAAAAGAAGAACATAAGGGAAAACAAGAACAAATCCAGCAAGTGGTAAGATTTACTGATTATATTTCAGTTTCCACTAGATACCAAAAAAATTACAATTTTCGTTTGCGGGCAAGAGTTCCATTTTGCCTGCTTGAGTAGCCAAGCAGAGCAAAGGTTCGCATCATCCCACCCACGTGCTCTGCTCTCTATGAATTAATTAGCATTTACTGACAAGTTTAATTTGATCTCCGAGGATGATTATACTAATTTTTTGCCATCTAAATTTATCACGCGACAAAGTTCACCGCAGAAATTGGCCTTGTCTGAAAACTGTCACGCAGGAAACAACAGCCAAATAAAATACTAAATTTGATTAATGAAACATTCGACAAGAAAAGAACAAGTGCTCAAACCACTTAAGCAAACATTGGCCCTATCATAGCGGTAACTGTCCACGCATTACGCTGAAAAGACGGATAAAGGCTAATGTTAAAATCATCGAAAGATAGAACACCATGATTAAAATATAAAATGACGCACATACGTGTGAGAGAGTCTGGATATCAACCCCTTTCACACACACAAGAGAATCACATCAGTTCAACTTCTCTTCAAAATATCCATACATTATCCAGTAAATAGGTAAAGAGAATCATAAACAAATATCTCAGATTATCGCTGTGTCAGACGTGTCACCTTGCCATGACTTAAAATAATATTTCCTCGCATTACAAAGAGATATATGGCAGTTACAATGTGCAATTTTATTAACACATCTAAAGAGGTGAGGACCACAAGCTGGTTTCCAAATAGGCATCATATCTCTAGCTAAGCCTAGAGCCATCAATAAAGTTCCTACATGATCAATGATGTAATACTTATTTTCCAAGAAAAATTTCAAAACTGCATCGCATTAGTTCAATTATATTCCAACGCATCAAAAGTTAATAAATTGAGGCTATAAAAGCTTTCATTTTGGACATAAAACTTTAGTCTTAAGTTACATCATGCTGTGTGGAAAATAAAGACATTGTGCTTACTATGTTAATTGCATGATTATTGATGCAAAGCACTTAGTCTGTAAACTAAGCGTGATTTTTAAATAATGATTACTTTTCGTCCTAAACCATCAAGCCAAGTTACTAGTGCAATGCGGTCGTCAGTGATCACTGCCATCCCTATCAGATAATAGGACTGTCCAAAATTGACAGGAGTACTTCGCACAAACTCACCATCTTTGGTGTAAATTTCTATATGCAAGATGTCTGGATTATAGTCCTTATCACCGACCACCACGACATGTTGACTTGCCCTTTGAAATGCAATGTTTGAAAACGCCATAGATATTTGCAGATCAAACGTGTTTAGATGGTCACCTTGTTCGCTAAATATGTGAACACATGACGAAGACCCTTGTACCACCATAACTCTGCCATCACTTACACTGGTGATGTCGCAGTTGCTGGTCAAGATTTGTTCTCCAAAACTGCAAACAAACTGACCATCAGTCTCATAAACATCCACAATATGTGCCTCGCTCCAGTTTCCCCTCAGTACCATCACTTTACCACTATCACTGACCGACAGTTCACACCGCTCAAATTTATGGTCCATTGTCCTGACGCGAAACTTGTGATGATGATCAGCGGTTTTGTTAAACTTAGAAATCCAGAATGGGTACTCACCACTTATTTCTTGGACCAGGACATAAATGTTGTCATTCATGTCTGTGGTTAGCCGAACCCCGAATTGAATCGATAGCTCTTTACGGCTGTCATCAATTAAAGGAGGAAGACTGAAACATTGCACAAACTTGCCACTGCTGTCATACACCTTGATTGTCGAGAAATTGTTTGCTGCAATATATTGCCCACTTGAGTTGGTGGCGATAGCAGTAATATTAAATATCCCGGTCTCCTCTTCGCCATCATGACAACGTATCCATGGTACACTACACTTCTCCATACCCTGTTTACGAAGTATATTTGTTACTCTCCGGTCTCGCAACAGATCAACTTTCTCCTTCCCTGTGTCAATCATGGGCAATGGTGGAAATAATTCTTTTTCAAATGGTTTATTTGTAAATGGTTTTTCGACGTGTACTGTTTGTGTGACATCGTAGGCGACGCGGTTGACAAGACAGACACCGGAAATAACTTTCCGTCGTTCTTCTTTGTTAAATAAACTCTTCACTGCCATGATACCTGTCCTGAGCTGTTCTTGAAAACTTCGCTGAACCACGGGCAGACCGTTTAGCTCTTCAATGCACACTTTACATGATGCTACAGCATCTGCAGGATGGTCTATTGTTTCTAATACTGTTGCCATCACTCGGCACTGCATTGCTAAGATGCGGTCACTTGTTGATAGCGCTTCATTTGAAAAAGCAATTGTTGCCATTTCACGAGCACGTTCGAATCTCTTCTTTGCATTGGTAAGCTGTCTTTTGGCAGATTCAGTACGCTTCAAGTGTTTCATTCCTTCAGTAAGCAAGAGAACGTCCGCACATGCCGCCTGTGCTGTATCCGCGCCATATTCACTCCTCGACCTTGTCCCTTCAAATACTTCATACAGCAACTCGATTCCTTCTCTAAAGAAGCTAATACTGGCTAGCAAATCTCTCCTTGATAATCCATCCAGCTTGGACTTCATGTCATCGATTTCTCGCATGATGATGCCGCGAAACCGTTGATCTGTTACGTCGCCATCTTTAAGCTCTTTTGCTAGCTCATCTCTGCTTTTATCCACAAGCCATCCAACAGTCGCTTTGAAAACTGCTGTTATGATCGCAGACATAACGGAAGCTTGGAACTTAGTAATCAGAAGAGATTGCGAGCTTTTTTCAGTGAATCTTCACAGTAAGCAACTTGGCAAGCGTCGATGGACCTAAAAATAGCAAATGATGGCAAAGTTTCACGACTGATTGCAATTTTGGAATGAGAATTGCGGTCAGGCCAAAAAAAGGAACAAAACAAACATAACAAAGAGAAGGCCATCAAGGAATAAAGGCGTGAAGATTTATAGCCTCTTCAAAATAATCCTTTGTTGAAAAACATATTTCTCTTTATTGCTCATTGCAGACTTTTAAATAGGCTGTTGCGGTCTTCAAAATCTTCCTTTCGCCAACGAATGATAATGTAAGTATCAAAAATACCTGACTGGTATCAGCTAAAGTACAATTTAAAACTCTTTTTGAAAAATGTTTTGTTCACTGACATGTTATTCCCGATTATTGTGTTGTTTGATGCCCGAGGCAAAAAAGGATGATAATTGTTCATTGATCTTCCTTAGTTGTTAGCTATGTTCTGAGCTGTAATGTGTTTTGGAGTTCTTTCATTTACTAATACTTCTTTCTTTATCTTGTTACCTGTAAATAGCTGTTATACCACAACTGGGGCTGAAACGGGTTCCTTCCACCAAATTTGTATTTGATTATTCATCGTAATTCGGCTCTAAGCACAAACAATCTAATTTACTCTTAGAATCATTGGAATCCCTTCTCACAGTATGGGCTAAAATGTGAGCCGTGTGAACCTAGAGGGTGAAAGACTTAGTTTTTATTTATAGACTTAGTTTTTATTTATAGACTCAAACCCATATGCGGCATCATGACTTCAAACCAGATATCGCTATCACACAGCTTTGCACTTTACAGTTCACAAAGGAAGGCTACGGAACATAACCTATATTTTGTTATGAATAATATGTCTTTTATTCACGTCACTGCTGCCAGCCACTTGTGAGTGTTTTTTGCATCAATACGTAGTCCTTTGTAATCAGATGATTACAAAATGAAAATGCAAGGAAAATCGAACTCATAGGCTGAATCATGACTTCAAACCAGACATCGTTATCGCCCAGCTTTGCACTTTACAGTTCACAAAGGAAGGCTACAGAACATAAAAAATATTTTGTTATGAAAACAGTACAATTTAAAGCTCTTTTTGAAAAATGTTTTGTTTAATGAAATGTTACTCGTGATCATTGAAATTTCAACCACGTCCAGGCATCATTCGACTTCTCAATGAAAATGTTGTTTGATGCCCGAGGCAAAAAAGGATGATAATTGTTCATGAATCTTCCTCAGTTGTTAGCTTTGTTATCAGCTGTAACGAGCTTTTACTTATAGTTCTTTCTTTATCCTGTTACCCATAAATAGCTGTTATACCACAACTGAGGCTAAAAAGGGTTCCTTCAACCAAATTTGTATTTGGCTATTCCTTGTTTTGGCCCTAACTAATTTACTTCTAGAATCATTGGAATCCCTTATCACAGCATGGGCTAAAAAGCGAGCCGTGTAAACCTAGAGGGTGAACGACTTAGTTTTTATTTATAGACTCAAACCCATACGCTGAATCATGACTTCAAACCAGACATCGTTATCAGCTTTGCACTTTACAGTTCACAAAGGAAGGCAACGGAACATAACGTATATTTTGTTATGAATAATATGTCTCTCATGCACGTCACAGCTGTTAGCCGCTTGTGAGTGTTTTATGCATCAGTAAGTAGTGCTATGTAATCAGATGATTAGAAAGTGAAAATGCAAGGCAAGCCCCTTAGAGCAAAATATAATACAAATCACGTCACTTTTTCAGCAGCGTGTTTCTTTTACAGGAAGTTCAACCGATCAACAATAGTTATTGCTCTTCAGAACATCAACGAATATATCAGTAGCAAGATATGGAAATAAAACTGTGAGTTTCTTGTTCTCATTCAAAAAACTTAAAGGAATCTCGAATTTTGTTTGTGGTTGTCCCACGTGCGCCCGCGTATCGCGTCCTATTTAGGTTGAAACAAAATTTTGAGAATTTTCATCACTTATGGATGTCATAAGTTATAATACTTATTGACCGAGTTTGACTCGGCCGAGTTTTTTTCTGCTGGTTTTTCTCTTTCGCTTTTTTGTTTCCCCTCCCCCTTTTTTTTTGTTTTTGGCTTTATTAAAGTAACACTGAACATATAGCGATGTATGCAGCATTACAGAAAGTGTCACCCCTCCCAAATGGATATCACTGGGAAAATAACTTTCAGGACGACAGAGAATACTCTCGTGGCTACATGTACATCGGATATTCTTTCCCCATCTTCTGGTTCACTTTTTCACGCCGAAAATAAAGAACAATTTAACGAACTTTGATGTGCCATGCACGATGAACTGTGTCAATTTTATAAATTAAGAATTGTGAATACGCACATTACGACAATACCTTAGTGAACCGTGACCCAAATCATAAACACAAACTTACAAACAACACAAGAAATACAAAGTAGCTATCAAAGTGACCTTATTCTTTTCTTCCTTGGCTTTCATTATCCCAGAATTGTTTAAAGCATTACCTAAAGACGTATTTCGATTTTTACTTCAAGGAAACATAAACTAAGAAACCAGAAATTAAGGTCACAGATGAGTTTTTTATGTATTGTTGCCTCTGTTGTCAAGTCATAGTCTATTAAAATATTTTGCCCGCGTGAGCTGGTAACGATATCACACGGATCACTTATATCCAGTGCTTCTCTACACCATCCTGATCAACTATCCATGATACATTAAGATGCTCCATATCCTGTTAACGAAGCGCCTTAGCTATTCTCACATCATGCAGCAAGTCAACTTTCTCTCCTGTATCAACTGTGAGCCATTCCAGGAGCATTAAACTCCTACTACATATAGCTTATGTGACTCTATAGGCGACACGATTGACGGGACAGACATCGGAAATTATTTTCTTTGTTCTTCTTTACTGATTAAACAAATACCCTAAGGGCATTGATTCTTGTCTTGAACGGTACTTTAAGATTTTCCCGAACCACTGACAGACCGCATTTAGCTCTTAAATACACACTTTACTCGCTACTACAGCATCCGCGGGACTGTCTCATGTGTTTAGTACTGTGACTATCACTCAGTTCAGCATTTCTAAGATGCGGTCAGATGTTAATAGCGCGCTCCTTCCACATAGCTCGACAACTGTGCCATGTGACTCCTCTTGGTCAAACAAGTTGTCTTAGAACACAAGCATAAACATTTACTCGAGAAAACATAAAAGAAATATCATAAAACCAACGAAGTTAAATTTCTGGACATGATAAAGAACTAGAGCGAAGCAGTAGAAAGGCCGGGAGAAAACCAGTTCTAAATCCTGAACACATCCAAAAATGATAACAGTACAACAGAAGCTATGAATATCACAAGGAAAATAAACAGCTTTACACTTCAGTAATTACAAACTTGATCTATGAGATAACCCTCTTGATAAAAATGCATTATATAAATTACGACAATTTTTAAGCATATTGGATAAGTTTGTCGTAACTTTAAACTTATATTTCTAATGACAGGTCTAGAAAGAGGCACAGGGCCACAAAATTTTCAAAGCCTAACAGTCAGCTCAGTTAAACTTATCCTCTATCTCTTATACAAAGCTTTGTTCTGCCGAAGGGCTTTTAAAAACTTGAAACTTCAGCTTTGAAACCCTTTACGGTGGCCAATTTACAATATCAACTCAGTTGACTGATACCAAATTACCTTCTCGCACAGAGCAGAGAACTAAGCATGTTACTGAATTTCTTTGAGGTCTCCAAGAAAGTACTTGAGGTGTGAAGGGAGGGAAATAGTGAAGCAAAAACGAAAAAAAAAATTCTTCATGAGCTCCGGCTTCTTTGATTCATATCTTATCTTATCTTTTTTTATGGGGGAGGGGGGGGGGGTTAAAAACGGTCTTCTTGAATAAAGCAATGCCAATAGAACCAAGAGGGAAAGGGCTGGGAAAGCAGATGAAATCGTTATGATATGAAAGAGAACGATAAGGAACTCTGGCATGACTCATGTAAGCGTCTTTCGCAATTTTGACGACCGTGAATCCAAATTACGGGCGCGGTGGTGATCTTGTAATTTGATCTTGTAATTTGATCTTGTAATTTGATATTGTGAGATCTCACGAGAATGAGAAAATGAGTCAGCTATTTGAAAAGGATTTACCTTTCCCAAACTAATTATTCTACCCTCTGGCGTCCGAAGAAAAAAGAGCTCCACTTTCGCAATTGAACCTTGGTCGCGAATTAAAAGGGATGTTTCAATATAGCCTTCGCTTACGAGGCATGAAGAGTTACCACTTTATAGGAGCTTTAGGCAACTGACTTGTTCTCTGCACTAAAAATGCAAGCACGATAGCGATATTCTTCCAATTCAACCAGTATCCTTCCTGTGAGAAACTTGTTGTAACAACTTAACTACTCTCATTGGCCTAAATTTAGGTGGGTAAACAATGATTACTGAAACCTGAGGTCATCGAGCGCGTACGCAACCAAACCAATTCTATTCTGGCAGATATCAGAAGAAATTGGCAAAGTACTTTTAAAAAGTTCTGCATGTTTTTGCAATGTTAGGAAAGAAAATAAAACGAAACAACAAACATAAAACCGAGAATATGGAAATATACTAAAAAGCCGTGGGTATAAGAGCTCCCGGAATTTCTCATTCCCCCTTTGTTGTTTTTTTTCCTAAATATTAGAAAATTCTCGTTTCTGATGGGAGAATTTCGATTGAGCTGCCACAAGCTTAAGGGTAGTTAGAAGTCGAGGCTTATAGATTGTGATTACGATATCCTATAGTCATATATCTAAATTACATTTATTCCTTGCTAGTTACATGGAAAAAGTCCGTCATCTTTTCTGCATAAGTTACGGGTCAGTTATTCATCTGGCGTCTGTTGCTTTGAAAGATGTACAAACAGTGAAAAAGAGAAAAAGTTGAATAATTTGATTTAGATTACCATAACGTATGTAGAAACCTT